TGCTAAGCAAATTACAACAGCCCAGGGGTTTACATGTCCCCCGTCGCTGTCCATCCGTCTTCCATTGAGGGTGTAAATGCAAGTGAAGTCTCACTCGAAGCGCTTCTCGTGGGGAAGAGCTTGCCTGATGACGCGACAGACTACCTCGCCTGCCCGATGGTGCCCCTTCTGCCTCTTTCCGTTTCCCTTCTGGACGCAGCACCGGTGACCCTACCCCACTCCTCCCACTCCTGACTGATCTCCATCAAAACACCGCCCATGACCTGGGCGCTGGCCATCAAACCGTGACCTTCACCCTCAAGCACGCGCACCTCGCACCGCCGCATGGTCTTGCCCAGCCACCTGACATTGTCGACAGGCACGCGGGTGTCCCGACTGCCGTGATGGATGATGACCGGCCGGGTGATATCCACGTACCGGAAGCCAATGGTATGGCGTCGCTCGAGGCACACCAGCAGATCAACAGCGGGGTTGGCGCCCGTTGTTGCCAGGTGCCAAATCGAATGTGTCAGACGGTTGTCGTACAATTCTTGTCTTTCGCGGTCGGCAAGCTTCGAGTTGACCATGGCAGCAGCAGCCGAGAGGGCATGGTCGTCCCTGTCGGATTGCCGTCGTGAACCACGGTTGGTGGAATTAGACCGGTGATGACGGTGGCCGATACCGTCGTTTCCTGTAGGGTTTGTTCCCGTCGGGCGCACTTGGTCCATGTATGCATCGGCAGGCTGGTGGGGCAGATCCTTTATTACGCCATCTCCATGGCCGCCGTGGTGGTTCTCTTTGTTTTCTGCGCCATGTCCCATTTTGGGCTGGTCCTTGTTCTCCTTGGCGGCATTGGCCTTCTTTTCACGTTTTGCCCGCTTCTGCTTGGGGAGCGAGCTTGTGATACTGGAGCTGGTTGCTGTCATGAAGCTGCTGTTCGCGGCCTTCAGAATCGGTGTTGGCAATGCCCGCAAGATTCTCTGACTTGTGGGTATTGCGTTTGTGGGAGGTAATGGCGTTTGTGCGCTGGATCCAAACACGCTCATCTGCGATGGGGGGATCCAGGGCGCGAGAAGATGTATCCTGCCGCGGATGTGTTGTGGCATCCGGAGCGCTGTGGCGAGAGCGTAAATGGCGCCCGCAGAGTGGGCGAGGATGGAAAATTTTGTAATCTTGAGAGACTGGCAAATCGCATATACATCGTCTGGAACAAGTCAGGAAAGAGCTATCAAGAGAAATAGGAAGAAAGAGACTTACCGGGCCAGCCCAGAGGAGTTGCGGTGCCCTCGGCGTAGGGTTCACTATCTCCTACACCTGGACGATCGGGCGTGATCAGACGCAGCTTCAGCGTCAATGCTAGCTCGTCGTAGAATGCCGTGATGTATCTTGTCAAACCCATGCCGACACAGCAGAATACTGCGCTGCCGTTCGGGTCTCCAACCTCGCTAAAGCTGATCACCCGCCCAGTCTGTGGATGCCGAATCTTCTGGCTCAGCCTGGGACTGCACAGATAACTTTCCACCGCGTCGTCAACACTGTCGGCACTTGGTGGTCTTTCGTAGGCAACATGTGAATGATCGGCCTTCACGCCGTGATCCGAGGACTTGTCGGGAGTGGGGCTATAAGCACCGGAAAGTCGCTTCAGCCTGGTACTGCTGCGCTTCGACTTGACCGCTACTCCGCCGCCTTCGCTTGCATAGCCTCCAAATGGATCGGGTGTGATGCGACCGGAACGACGTCGATGTGCTTCTGCGCTAGCCTCGCGATCACGACGGCGCCCCTGAGCAACGGCGGGGGACGGAGCACCGTCATCATCCAGGTCAGAGAACATGGCGGCAGCCGGTGTAAGTGGACCGGCGGTGTTCGCTTCAGGCTTGTCCAGGGATGCGTTGGCCCGGGCCATGTCTGCAGAGAGCCTTAGAGGGTCAAGCGAGTGCCCTTGTTTCTGTCCGGAATGTCGCAGTTTTGAGTTGTCCCGCGAATTTCGGTCACCTGCGTTCTCTCCTTCGACCTCGTGAATCGTGCCACTATCCCGCTTTGAGGTCCGGGAAGCACGGGCCGACGACCGCTTTCCTGTTTTCCTTAACGATGAATCTCGGGCTGGGATAGCTCGAGGACTGGAGAGAGTGTTGTTCGAGTCGTCACCACCAAGATCGAAGTAGCTCTCTTCGTTGATGGTCGAATCGGGACCGAACGGATCAAGCTGTGGCGTGGTGCTGCCGCTCGGAGGGTGAAGCCCGTTCGTGTTGCCTCCTACTGCGCCGGTGCTTGCTCTTTTCTTATCGGCGTCCTTCTCCCGTAGTCTTTCCTTGCTGCTCATGTATATCAACCCGCGGTTGCTTCTCGAGTTCTTCCAGCCCCAACTATCGAAGGACTTTTGCTTTTTCAGACCAGGTCCTTCGATACCCGGTGATAGAGGTTCGGTTGATCGCCGCTCGACGGTGAGTTTACCAATGCCACTACTAATGCTGTCCACCCCGGATGTTAAAGACCCCTTGCTCGATGGCCGAGAAACACCACCGCTGCTACCTCGGGACAAAAGGCCTCGAAAACCGGATCCTTCTCGAAATCCGGGGCTTTTGGGTGATTTCGGCGCCGTCAAAGGAGACAGACCACTTGGGGGCTTGGAGGTCCGGATGACCGGAGCGCTCGCTGGGAGCTCATCTAGTGGCACATCTTCTTCTCGCAACTGTCCCAGAGATGGCTTAGAAAAGGCACCGTAGTCCACACCAAAAGATCCACCGGATTGTTGTGTTGGCGAGCCGGGAAACGAAATACTAATTGGACTTCCGGGTCCAATGGGGCTGAGGTAGTTTGGGCTTTCGAAGTGGTTGCTGAGGGGTCTCGAAATAACAGAGAGCGAGGTAATCAAGGACGATATCACCTCTGGTGAAGCAGCAGTAACAGAACCCGATTTTTTGTGGTCCCTTTCCCGCTTGTGTGGGTATCTATTGGTGTAAATCTCTCGGTCTCGTTCGGTCCAGTTGGTAAAGATGTCGTGGTCACGATCTCGTTCCGTGTCAACGAGGTGGGGAGAGGCGATGCGACGGGAGGACGAGGTGTAGGTTGGTTCGTAGGACTGATCGCGATTTCGGACACGCTCTCGTTCGCGGGACTTGCGGGGAATGGGTGGTACAGATGTCGATAAAGAGAGTTGATCCATAGCGGCGGAGGCGGCGGCGGCAGGCGGCGCAGATCGAGGAGTTAATAACCTTCGACGCCAACCTGGTTTACCGGCAGCAGTCGAAGCAGTAGCCGCAAAGCCTCTTTCTTGCTGCGGGTCAAGCTGCCAATGTCTCACGTCCGGCCCAAGTTTAGCTCGGCGTTTTGTTGCTTCTGACAAGCGTATTGCCGTATCTGGGGGTTGGTGCGGCTAATTGCTGAGACTCTTCCTGCAGATGCCAACCCGCTTGCTGCAGAATAGGGCCAGATGGTCCCCGGATTTCGAGGCGATATGATCTATGTGATCTACAGTCGAAACGAAAAGGTCACAGTGTACCGGGAAGCGACTGTCTCGGGGATTACTCTGTACGGTGGTTACGGCGGTGGATGAGGGCGCGACCCGGGCGATGGTCCGATGGGGTAGACGCCGCAGACGAAGTCGGTAGAGCTGCAAGCTTTCTAACACAATCCAACAGTGGCTTGCAGATGCCCATGCGCTAGAGGAAAGTCAAAGACCCATGGTTCGCGGAGAGGGAGGAAAAGAGAGTCGCCAAGATGAGGGCGTGCAGATGGTCAGAGACAGTTACTGCAGGAGAAGTGGAGATCTCTTCGAATTCGCATCCAGAATAATTACTGTTGCGGTTGGAATTGCAATTGGAAATTGACTTGTCAGGTCCAGAGGAGACAGAACTGGAACACCGTGCGCTGGAAAACGTGTGGACTGATGAAACAACGGCTTTTTGTCAGTTGTTAGTGTCTACTCAGGTCTTGAGCTCTCCCATCTAACAGCAGCAAGAAGGGGCAAAAAAAAAACGAGACAGAAAAGAAAAGAAAAACAGAACAGGATCTCTCATCGCATTCCAGACCGGGCAGCAGACAGCTCTGGTGATCAAAAAGGAACAGAAGAAGCAAGCAAGGGGTCCTGGTGGCCTGTGCTTCCCGTCAGAAGCCCCCTGAAATGCTTCTTCTTGGGGACTCTTGTCCAATGAGAGGGCCCCGTAGCTGATTGAGCACAGACCCCTCCGGCATGCAGCTTTGCCCCTCTCTCCCCCACGCGTCTACATTTCCCAATTCCCCCTGGACCCCAACAGAACCACTGGGACAAGTACGAAGGATTACAATACCAGAAACGGAGACGGTCTCCACCGGAATCTCAAGTTTGGTTTGGAGGCTCGTTCTTGTCTTCCTCGCTAGACTAGGTAGTAAAGAAGATGTTACCATGCAAAGGCGATCTGATAAAGTGTATCAGACGGGAGGAGGTTGTAACAGAATGCCCCGAAACAAGTCAAGTCTCTTCAATGCGGAGAATCCTGGGTGGGGACTTTTCTCACTTTGAAGAGGTTCCAAAGGTGTTCTGGAAGAGAAGGGAGGAAATCACGGGACAGACCTGATCGTGATCTGTGCAGCCTGCCATTCTGGCTGAGCTCCGACAGTGACAGATTCGACTGATCAACATGCGGCAGAGCTGACAAGAATGAAGCGATCAGCACTTGATTGCTTCTTTTTCTGTACTTCGAAAACTCCTTATGCACACACTACGGGTGAGCACACTACTCAGGTGAGGCGTATGGTGATCAATCATGTCGTGTGCCCTCAATAGAGCTGGGCTTGGCACATCAATCAGAGTGCCATGGTTTGGCCAAAAACGCTTGCGACATTCGGTATAGGTTTCTCACAAAGAGTAATTTACAGTCTGCTGGAGATGGACAAAAATTCAGGCTCAGTTCTAGGGACATTTGTGTGGGCAGAACCTCGTCTTTGAGGTATCCACTATCATCTATTGCATGCCGTGGATCCTTTCGGACGTACGATATCAGCCCCAACCTGAAGGTCCTTCACCATCAATCAACACGATAACGGCGCGGTTAGTTTAGTGGTTAGAATCCTCGCTTCCCATTCTCTCTTGGTCCAGCGAGGGACCCGGGTTCGAATCCCGGATCGCGCAATTGCGCCGTTTCTCTTTTGTCGTTTTTTTCCCTTCACATTTTGTGATTCTGTCATCTCTTCTGTCCTCTGGAAATGTTCTTAGACGGCACAGTCATTTCTCATTTTGCTGGCTTCAACTCTCACACTTCCTCATACGAGGCCAGGATCAATTTGACAATGCAATATTAAAACTCAGGTTGACGCGGCCATCATCTCGCCAAAAGAACATTCCACAGCGCTGCAACGCTGTGAAGTTGGGGTCCAACCTCAGGGGGGCAGCCCATCTTATCAATTCTGCCGGCTTGTTCTGAACTTCTGTGACACCTCCAGCGCATCGTGTCCCTGACGTCATCCCACTGAAGCTGAAGAACAGGGATATCGCAGGATGCCGACAGCAGAGGAGGAAGAAGGTGAATGCGTGGAAAGGTGTTTGTATGCTCGGTGAACCATGGCCAGAAAATACTTTTGTTCAATCCTTTCTCCGGTCTTCTGCTGATTGCCCTTTTTTTTTTTTTTTTTTTGCTGTGATTGAGCCAAGAGACCCATGATCATCACCAAGAGTCCAAGACTGCTCAGCCAAAAGTAAACACACCAGCAAATATTCCTGGACGGCTTTACCCAGTCGGTCGTCCACCACCAACCATCCACCCGCCATCCACCATGGATCTCCTCCTCTCCCTCCCCATAGTCTCCTACTTCTTCACCACCTCCCTAACCTCCTGGTCAACATCCCTCAACCTTTTATTTTTTTACATGACCTGGTCCACCCTCGTCCTCAGCCACTCCCCGCTCAAAATCGAAATAATCGGCACCACCGCCATCCGTTTAGTCCTATGGCTCCTGCCCTCCCTTGTATTCCTCGCCTTTGACAGTCTTTTACCCTCTCTATCAGAAACCGTCAAATTCAACGGGGCCTCTGCCCTCCCACCCCGCGATGCCCGTTCCCTCTCCAAACTCCTCGGCCTTGCCCTCTTCAACCTGGCGCTGGAAAGCGCCTTGGAAGCCACCATCTCCCTGGGCCTCGCAACTGTCTTCAAAACCCCCGTCTTCCGGACTTCCACCACTTTACCACTACCATGGCAGATGATCAAACAGCTCCTCTGGCTGTTTGCCGGCAGAGAAGTTCTGTCGTATTACATCCACCGCCAGCTGCTGCACAATAAACCCGCTCCCCCGTCCCTCAGAAAAGCAGCAGAAACCACGAAAAAGGTCACTTCCAAGCTGCCAAAAGTCAAGGCCAGGAAAGGGGTAGGGGTTCATACTTCAGTCCCCTCCCGCCGCCGTCTTGCATCGCTGCACTCAAACCACTGCCACGCCTCCCGAAGCCCTCCTTTTTCTTTGCGAGTCAAAACCGACCACCCCCTGTCCTACCTCCTCCACCACTTTCTACCAATCTACCTCCCCGCGCTGGCCCTCCATTTCTGGACAGCGACCTCCCCTTCCTCCGGGCTGGGGTTCAGCAGTTTTAGCTTTGGCCTAGGCGGGCTGAGCAACATCACCTCCACCGGCGGTCTGCACATTTTGACGTACCTCGTCTTCCTCGCCTTGTGCACAGCGGAAGAGACATTATCTCACTCAGGGTACACTGTCATCCCCGGCATTTTTCTGGGCGGGATATGCAGACGAACAGCAGCGCATTTTGCCCAACCTGACAGAGGTAACTTTGGCAGCTGGGGAATATTGGACTGGATCCATGGAACAAGTTTGGGAGGGAAAAATGTGTGGGATGATGTCAAGGGTGAAGCGGAGAAGCATCGACTGCAAGAAAGGGGGGAAGAAAAAGCCAATGGGGCGATCGGGGCCGTGAGGGAGGGGATTAGGAGGAGTGCGAGGCAGCGAAGCTCGAGAAGTAGACGGAGGGTGGTGGAGGAGAGTGATGAGGATTGGAGTGAGGAGTGAATTTTGCACCATTTTATATTTGGGATTTCATGGGGATGGAGGAATGGATAGTATGGGACAAAGGAATTATTAGCACTTGGATACCAGGAAAATGATCAGGCGGTCATAATTTTCTTTCTTGGTTATCAACAGGGCTGGGTTATTTGGGAATGCAACAAACTTCCAATTTGCCACGCAGAGAATGCAAAATGCAGTTCATCTGGCGCCAATGCACCGTTTGTGTTGGAAACAAAAAGTACCTAGATAGTTGTAGCATATAAACAGCTTTCGTGTGCGTGTGTGGGTGTGGTACATGTATGTACAAAACAAACCTCTGTCCTCTATATCCGTCATGCCATTGTATATATCCCATCCCAGAAATCCCAACCACGTTTGCCCCTGTCTAAACGCCCCGCCCCGATGCCATGCCGTTATAAGCCGCTATAATAAACGACGCGATATGCAATGCAGTATCACTCATGCCACCCTCATACAGTTCATGCCCACCCCTTTTGACTCTTAAACCAAGCGACGGTCTCCGACCCGGTCTTGACCCTCATCCCCAACCGCGCATCAAGCACGAAACCCTCCCACTTGGACACCTTTTCTAGGTACAGCTGGCACTCATCTGCCCTCTGCTTGCGGAAGGCATCGATCTGTTCGGGGACCTTGGGCCAAGCATCCGGATTACAGACATCCATCCATGCAACCGCAGCAACTTCGTAGTGCGCTGATGCCTGGCAGTAGTCATCTCTTGTCGGTCCCTTGAAAATAGTTCTGTGGATACGTTAGTCGAATTCCCTCAACATGGCAGTGGAAAACAATGTACTCACTTATCCATCGTCAATAAAGGCTCGACGAGCGCCTTTGCCTCCGCGCCCCGTCCAAGTTGCCTGAGCAAAGCCGACTCGGTCAACAGCTGGATCGCCACCTCGTCCTTTTCCTCCTTGATCTTCGCGAGCTTGTCCGCGGGGGCGGTACACCTTTCCCACCTGAGATAGCCCCTTGCCCTTTCCAGCAGGGATTCACTCATTCTTTTGCTGCCGTTCCACAGGTAAATCATCTCCATGGCAGGTGAGACAGCAATAGCATCAATAAGGTCCAGACCCAAGGTCTTCGCTCTCTCCTCCCACTTTTGCAACTTCCTGCAAACCAGCACCTCGAACGGAAGCTGTCTCGCCATGAACCGCTTCTTGCCCGCCGTGGTAGGGGCCTTTTTGAGGTACTTCTCGGCCGACGCCTTGTGCTGCGCTGCCTTCTTTTCCAGAACAGCTCTCTCCTTGTCGCCCTGGGTTAATGCCTGTGCCCTGTGGAAAGCGTCGCGGTACATCTCTACCTCTGCAGACCCCGCGATGTAATAGTACAGCGCATGACTCCAACTGTTCAACTCCACGCAGCGCAAGAAGTTATCCTTCATCGCGGGGAAGTCCATCGCATACATGGTCGACATGGACAGCTCGAAGTTGTTTAGAGCCGCGACTTGTCGCATCTTGCTGTCCGTGTTCGCCTTTAGCATTTCAATCGCCTGTTCAACTTTCCTGTCATTGGCCAGCATGCGTGCCTCTTCCAGCTTCCACATTCTGCTTTCCGGGTATTGTTCGCGCATCGAGGCGAGCAGAGCGGTACACTTCTCCTTTGGGTAACCGACGGCTTCGATCTCGCTACTGCCTTCGGACTCGGTACCATTGTCGGTAGTATCATGCTCAGGCGGGAGAATGTCGGCCATGCCCAGGAAAGTGTTGTAGTAATTCAGAAGAGCCAAACCGGCCATGGCGCCGTTGATGTTGGGGAACTTGGTCGACTGCCAGAGCATACGCACGCCCCTATCGCGGTCGCCCTTGAAGCCGATGACGTACAGAAGCCGTGCGAAAGCTGGCGGCACCATGGAAATGATGAGGAGCAAGAGGCCGAAACACATGTTCGCACCGCTGTGCACGAAAACGTCGACGGTAGATTTGAAGAGGCCGGTATCTGGGCCCGCGGCGTTGAGCAGGGCAAACTGCGACACACTGGAGGGGGTTTGCGCGCCATTTTGAGGAGATCCCTTCGTAGGAGAAACAGACGCGGACTGTGAGGGCGTCAGGAAAACGTCTGGTGAGTCTGTAGATACCGTCAGCTTGGCGAGCTTCTCGTCGAGCGCTGCTGCTGGTTCGGTGGCGGTAGCTTGACTCGTCTGTAATGCGCCGTCCACAGCCGCCACAAACGCCTTTTCGTCCACGTGTGCCTGTGTTTTCCCCGCAGCGGCAGGTACTGGAGTGGGCGCATCATCGTATTCTGCAAACTCGGTTTCGTCAAAGCTACCAGGCATGGGATCCTCCGTGAAGCTCTTCCTCCTCGGATAGGGCGGGGCATCTGCCTTGGGATTGGCCGAGTCCAAGTACCGCTGCTCGGCCTCCATTATACCGTCGAGGGTGACAAATGCCTTCCGCAGCTTGTAGAAACCCTTGAGCGCCTCTGTCAAACTTTCGTGCATAACGGCGACGACGGCGTTCATCAATTGTGCCTCGGCGTGAACAAGTGCGAATTCGGACCCCGGTGGGTAGATGGCGCTGGTGGCGCTCCCTTCCACCGGAGACTTTGGTTCGGCCGGTTTGGAGGAATACCAGTATCCTGTGCCCGTTGAGGTGCCATTGGCTTTTGCTGCCTCCTTCTCTGCCCGTTTCAAATCGTTCCAAGCCCGTGATTCCGTCTCTGTTAACCGGGTAGCCGCCTCGTTCATGAGTTCTTTTTCGAAACTGAGGATACTCCGCATAAATGTAGACACGCCCATTCCTAGCGCGTGAAAGGTCGACGTGCTCTCCCGCTGTCTTAACCCTTCCTCTGCGCCTTCGATGTCGTCGTTCATGATCAGAGAGATCGCAGCCATGGCGTGCTCCATGTCGAGAATCTCTTGCGTCTCGGAAGGCCCGCCATTGCGCTTTTTGTCCTTTCTGTGCCGAATACTAAGGGAATGCGTGCTCGCAGTCGGACTGGGCGCCGGGCTCGATTGCTTTGTAGAAGAGGTCTTGGAAGCTGGAGGAATAATAGCAGCATTGGCCGTGGAGGATGAACCCCCGCGGAACCAAGAGCGAAGACCAGACATCTTTGCGCTGGTTCTCTTTCCCCTCCTGTTGGAAAGAGGAAATCAAGTGGGCTTGCGCG